GTTAGCACTCTGGACTTTGAATCCAGCGATCCGAGTTCAAATCTCGGTGGAACCTGAAGTATTTTATCACCATAATCCGTAAAAGGTAATCATAAAATTAGGCATATGTATATGAATTAACACGGTAAGCAAGATCATGAAGTTTTTGTTTTCATAATCCAACGCCGGAAGAAGCCCCCCAATAACTAAATTAAAATGCGTTTCCACGTCAGTGAAACTAGAATTGTAAATGTATTTCATTAATATCGTAATTCATTAAAGTCGCAATTGAAATGCTAAAAATTCACAAACAACGGTTCCATGGTGTAATGGTTAGCACTCTGGACTTTGAATCCAGCGATCCGAGTTCAAATCTCGGTGGAACCTGTGCTGTTTTACCACCACAATTTTTAGAAACTGAACACTAAAATTAGTCATGGGTCAACAACGTAAGCAATATTACAAATCTTCTGTTCCATTATCCTACATCCTAAGAACTTCCGCATAAGCATTTACAAGTCAGTAACACTATAAATTGAGCAATTATTGCATGCGCTTAATAAGTCATTAGAAAGGCTGGACTTTGAATCCAGCGATCCGAATTCAAATTTCGGTGGCACCTAAAGTATTTTATCACCATCATTTGCAAATAGAATACATACCATTGATATGAGTTACACCGTAAGCAACATCTTTATTCTTCCTGTCACTGAATGTGATTTTTATCATCTTTTATATTTAAAAGTCAATAATACCCAAATCGTGAATCATTACGGGCAAAATTGAAATGCTTAAAATGTTATAAACAATTTCAAGGTTTAATGGTTAGCATTACGGATTTTGAGTACAGCCACTTGCATTTAAATATAAATATAAAATGATATGCAGAATCTTTTTTCATTCATAAAAGATGTAAATGTATTTTATAGTAAGTTACATAATATGTTCCAGATATCTGGTGGTTGTAGCGATTCTATAATACAAATAATTCAAGATAAACACTAGGGAAACTAAGATACTGAGTAAGTAAGGCGGGTGACATTACTGCTTTTCAGCCTGACTTGTGAATAATGAATCGCGCAATTAAAGCTACAAACTCTCACTCGCAAATACATTTGTTTTGCAATATGCACAACATCCTGATGTCTGAAACTTTAGTGTTCCATTACGAGGCAGAACTGAGAAAGCATCTCCCATAAGATTGAAGAGAGATAGTAGAAAGTTTATTTTAAGTATTACAATAAATAAATAACATACATTAATTTACTGAAAAGTAAAAGCAATCATAAATATTTTTTGTAGTTGTGTATAAAAATAATTATAATAAATACTACTGAAAATAATCACAATAATAATTGTCACATGCAAATTATATTAAAATGTGCAGGTTCCACCGAGATTTGAACTCGGATCGCTGGATTCAAAGTCCAGAGTGCTAACCATTACACCATGGAACCGTTGAATATGAATTTTCAGCATTTCAATTGCGACTTTAATGATTCACGACATTAATTAATTATAAAACATCATTACAATTTCTGGTTTCACTGACGTGGGACCGTATTTTAATTTAGTGATTAAAGAGTTTTGCTTACGGCGTTGGATTATGGAACGAAAAATTTATGATTTTGTCTTACCGTGTTAATTCATACATACGTAATTTTTATTACGATTGATTTATTACGATTTATGATGATAAAATACTTCAGGTTCCACCGAGATTTGAACTCGGATCGCTGGATTCAAAGTCCAGAGTGCTAACCATTACACCATGGAACCACACGATTAGCGTGCTGGGCCAAATCAGCAAAATTATCATAATTAATTGACATGAAAACAACATTTTTAATTAGTAATCAATCATATACCGACATAAGAATTTGAAAAATAATAAAAGTATACAGTAAAACTAATTTCATTTCTAGCGGCAATTCTCTAGCTACGCTAATAATAAATTTTGGCTGGTGTCCAAACGATACGTAAAGTATGTTATTTTTTGTATTGTAAAAAATATAAAAGCACAGAACTATAAAAACCATGTTCAGAATAAATAGCTAAACAAATGTGTATAGTGAATATATTGTTATTATATTAAAAAATGCGTTCAAACAATATTATTGCTATATATTCAAACTGCAAATTTTTATTGTATCAAAATGAATGTTGTGTGGTTCCATGGTGTAATGGTTAGCACTCTGGACTTTGAATCCAGCGATCCGAGTTCAAATCTCGGTGGAACCTTAATGTTAATTTTTTTTTTGAAAAAAATCTTTGCGTTGAACGGCGAAACTATGTACATCTTTCAATATTTTAGTACTAGCAAACCCGACGAACTCCGTTTCGCCACTAGATGGTTTCGTGAGAAAGATGAAGAATTTTTTTGTTTGTTTATATTTGAAAAGGAAAAATTTGATTTTATTACACAACAGTAATGAATTTGTGTCGATTACAAAAATGAAGTATTTTTTAGTTAAACTTCCCTAAGTAAATGAAAGTGAATCCGCAAATTAACCGTTTCGAATTTTGAAGTGCTCTTTGGTAAACCACATTTTTTGTTTTTTGGTCTGACGTTAACACAAACAAAGCGGATGGTTTTCCAACTCGAGAACAGGCAACGTAAAACTGCCCATGTGAAACTAACAATGATTTTCTAAATAATCTATTTGAAATTTATTCCGCAAACACTAACCTATTGGCTTTGCGAACGCAAGGCGAACTGGAAATTGCAATCGTTTGAAGTCAAACGGAAGACCAGTCGGGATCATTGGTATGTCACCAAATCGCCAGCAATTTTTGATTGAATGGTGAAATTCAGTGCGTGTACATCATTCTTTGCGGCAAGAATTGCTCGTTGACTTAACCAAGCATAATTCTGATAATTCTCACTAATGTCATTACTCGAATTTTTAATTACGGTGCGTGAAGTTCCAGCAATTTGCATTAAGGCACGATGCCATGCACCACTAATTTTCTTAGCTATAAACCTCGAGACCTTTCCAACGAATGCAAAATTGTCGAAATCGGTGCGTTCTGGAGTTATATCGTCAAGAAGAAAAACCCGACTTATTTTTATATATATATGTAGATTATTTTGTGTATATCAATTGGTTTTAATTTTTTTATAGATAGAGAATAATTATAAATACAGTCATATCGAACCTCATACTTATTCTATAAAATAATTTTTGTAGCAAATCAAATAACGCATTTTACGAAGTGATATCACAAACGCGAATCGCGCGGCCCTATTTGACCAATTCTTTGCATTTGATTTTTGTGTGAAGGTTCCTCCGCATTTGGCACGTACGTTGGATGTTGACATCCGATGCATATTTAACGCGCTTTTAGTATCGGGACATCGAACATAGGCATGGGGTGAGGTTGGGTGAGGTTAGCGTGGAACACCCTGACCGCTAGCAGGGCACTCTACAAGTAGGGCTGAAAGAAGTTCAGCCAGAAGCGCATTTAGGATCTGCTCTTGGTTAACATAAGTGCATATTATCACACTTGTAATAAACTGTAATTATTAGGGTAACGTTTATTGTAAGCCAACTAATTACTCACAATCAATATTATGCAATGTTATCATGCTAACATCTATAATTACTTCATTATATATTGATGAAAAAGTATATCATCACATAAAATAGGTGCAACAAATGTGGGATTAATTCTTTTTGAAATAAATTCGAATATTGAGTTTACGTTCGTTCAGTATACAATAGCAGCATCGATATTTTATTAAAACTCTCAAATTCAAAGTTTTCACTTTGCGACCCGTGTCAATCCTACAAATACCCACAAAACAGTGAACATGCCCGAGTGTCAAACTTGTGACCTGTGAAATTGTGCTTTGGAAAGGTGTGCACAAATAGAACAGCATTAGCGAATTTGCGCTCACAATGCAGCACGTGCTGACGAATGCGTCTCTATGGCGGAACAGAACAAAAAATCACACGCAATTTAACAGATTTTTTGCTCATGTTAAATTATTGACTAATAAAATAATACTAAATCGACAAAGATAATAATCGATACGCATACAAAAATAATAGGAGACGATAATGTTAGACATATTGCTAAAACTTTTCCAATAACAATTCAAACTTTATTCAATGTACAACAATTAACATTGTAAGTAAGGCTTTGAATCTTCATTATGTAAAAACAATCTGTTGCTAAATGTCGGTAGCTTTGTCTACTTGGTTAATGATGATTTGATCAATTCAATACGGAAAGAAATATTTGAGGTATATTTCGTTGGTTTATAGCGCAATTTTTTTTGTCATATAAAAGACTACAAAAAATAAGAAAACAATATAATTTGATTATTTAAAGAATATTTGTACAAAAAGAAAGAATTGCTCATGAATTGGATATTTATTTATCTTAAAGATATAAAGTGCAATTACTATCAAGATAAGGTAAATTGCCTGACTTCCTGATGTATAACAAATAACTAAATTTTTGGTAAAACTTCTTTTCTTTAAAAAATTTTGGTTTGTTTCTAAAACTTTGTAGTATAATATTTTTTTTAATCAAAATCATTTGATTTAGTTATAAATTCATAAATTACAATTTTTTGTATGTACGATACAGAACGCAAAGCCTGATATTTTCTTGTGTTATATAAAAAACCAATATTGACTTTATAAATCTACAACTAAAAATACGATTTTTTTTCTCAAGTAGCTAAATTGTATAACATATTTAAAGTAATCAACGTATTTTCAAGAACATCGCAAATTTTCATTTATTGGCACGCAATTTTGTAAATAAAATGTATGAATAAAATAATTTTTTTTGTAAATCTTAATAGTCTGTTTGTTTATTGCATGCATGCATCAAACACAAGTTTTTGGATCCAAAATAATAATGTATCTCCGAAATCGTTTAATCTGCTATTACAAAAAAACTTTCTCTTAATCTATGCAAATTGGTTATATACAATATTAATAAATATTTTTGTAATTTTGCTATAAAAATGTCTATAACTAACTTGAATATTTTTTAGCACTTACCCGATAAAAAGCTGTCCACGCTGTCTTCCATCTTGTTGTCGATAGATGGTGTATGTGATTTCTCATCTTGCGAATTTTCATTGGCCGTTTGTTCACTCGTATCTAAAATTAAATATATTTTAGATCATGCTATTTTTACTTTGGGATAATTATAACTAGTCAAAGTTTAATATAAAGATAAGAAACATTGACGCTCTTTTGTTAAATATGACGTCTTTCTAATACAAAAATTCTTATCAGTTCTCATCGTTGACTAATGAATGTACAGTAGGGGAATTACTATAAGAAAATAGATCAACTTGTCTATACAGTATGAGAAATATTATTAAAATATTTTTTTATTAATTATATATTATAAATATATTTAATTATTAATATATGTTATATTATATTATATTATCAAACATTATTTGATTGCAACAATATTATAAGCATCACTCGGTTTAATTTTACACATATTCCTTAAATATTCCACCAGATGATGCAGACTCTACTGTATGCCAAGATAGTCTCCCTTGAGACATGAGCTTGGTCATCGGGGATAACCGACCGGCGCCTCTTTAGAAAGGACAGAACAATCGTACGAACCCAAGATCTTACGATTCCACGATCCGAACTCCGGCGGGTTGCTCTCAGCGCGGCGCTAAATTTCCCCGGAGCCAGCGCCCGTCCATCGCGCCGTCCGACGTAAAGAAGCGCCACGAAGAGAGAACACGGGGGAACACAAAACGTGGCCCTACGCGGATATTCATTAAGATTACGCGATGCATAATGAAAAGATAGGAACCCAGTTTTGTATGTAGCATGATGTATATGTATATATATACATATATAAATGTCTAGACAAATGATGAAAGAATTTAAAATGGACTAGGGAATATGTTACAATACATGAATTAGATGAATAAGCAAAAAGAATATTTAAATTTTAACAGTTTTCATTATCCAGATTGTGAACTGGACTACACACACATTATATATAATGCTTATGTAATATACATATATATATATATATATATATATATATACACCTAAGTCTCTTTTTAGGTCTTTTTGTACACGGTTTTGATATAACACGGTTTGAAAATTGAATATTTTTAATTTTTTTACACGATTTTATTCCATTTAGCACGATTTGAAATTTTATGTACTTAAATTTATTTGTCAAATTTAATTTTTGCGATGTATGTTCATATCACAAAAAAGTACTTATGAAAGAAAAAAGTCTGAAACCATCGATAGTATCGATAGTTTGCGAACACTAGCTTAAAGATTTAAGTGAATTCCCCTTTAGCGCGTACAAACAATTTTTACTGGTCAAAGCAAATGTGAATAGCACTAATTTAGGGGAATTAATATTAAAATAAACATGAATTATTGTTCTTGAAAATTCTTGTTTATCACTAATTTTAATAGGTTTTAGAGAGTAGGACAAATCACCCATTTTTGTATAAGATCAATGTCTTTTTTTACACGGCTTCTTATGGAACCAATCTCCGTGTAAAAACAGACTTAGGTGTATATATATTTTGTATGATTCTGAATTTGATGTTGACATATGTATTAACAAAGTCTAATAATCGGGCATAACATCAATAAAAAACATGAATTTCTTTCAAAAATTTATTTTAAATCCATACGTTTTAAAAATTTAAAATTTTAATAATCCATGGTATTAGGATATCTTAATACCATGGATTATTAAAATTTTCCAATTTAACACAAAGATCAACTAATTTTTCCACTGAATGAAGGCTAGGATTATAGCCGAAACGTATGGATTTAAAATAAATTTTTGAAAGAAATTCATGTTTTTTATTGATGTTATGCCTGATTATTAGACTTTGTTAATATATATATATATATATATATATATATATATATATATATATATATAAATTTCGTGTCACGTTATTTGACCGCTATGGACGCCTAAACTTCTGAACCAATTTTATATTCAAATAATATATAACTGTAACAAATGTAGCTGAATGTACTTTGTATAGCTTGCTATGAATAATAAATCAAAAACAATATATTCAATTAATAAATATTATAAATAAATTTTAAATTTATAAAATTTATAAAAAAATACAATATTATATGCTAAAACGTGTAAAATTACGATCATACAAAATACCAGCAAATTTAAAGGTATAAAAATAATAGTATGAAGAAGAAATAATAATAATGTATTTAATTTTTTATAATTATAATAAGAATTCTTTAAAAAAGTTTATGAAATGTATTAAACATAATTGATTATTAATTACATTACAAAATACATTACCTATAAAGCATTCATAAAGATATATAATATATATATATTATATATATACGTATATATGTATATATATATATATATATATATATATATATATATGGATATGAATGGTGATAAATATGTTGATAAAACAAAAAAAAATTAACAGGCATCCATCCAAGATAATAAATAGAAAGAAAACTAAGATGTTTCTTAAAATAAATTTAATAGATCCATACGTTTCGAGTTTGAATTTGACTCTTTTTCAGTAGGAACAAAACACACACAAGTAATTAATACACTAAAAGTATAGTATATATATATATACATATATATATATATATATATATATATATATATATATAAATATACATCCAAAATATTATTTACGTTGATTTGGAGATAAAATGAATATCAAAGTTGTTTGTTTTATAGTTGAATGTACTGAATGGGCGAGTGGGTTGATGAGTAGCAAGGAATGGGTTTTGTGGCAGTAAAACCGGCGTGGAATCCCATGAGATTTCCGACGCTGGGGGTACAGGACCTTTGAAAGCGTTCTGTTGCATATTGTACTTGTCAAAAATATTATACATAATTATTATATACACAAAAAAAAAATTAGAAGAAGATGTTATTCATATGTATGAGAGCAAAAGTAATAGTTCCAATGGTCTTGAACAACTAAAACAATTTTATTACTATTTAGGTTTATTTGATAATATTTCGATAGTTTTTTAATAAATGAATTAAAAAAAAAACAATTCGAAAAAAGACAAAATGATTGAAAAAAAATAGTATATAGTATAAAAATTAAAAATGTTGTCAGTGCTTAGCCACTGACCACATTTTTAATTTTTATACCATATACTATTTTTTTCAATCATTTTGTCTTTTTTCGAATTGTTTTTTTTAATTAATTTATTAAATTTATTTATCTATAGCATAGGCTATTTAAAATATTATTTAAATGTATATAATATCTGTTAATTATTCTCACAAAAGTTTTAGATGAGCTGTAAGATAAACTAGTTGAAAGTGACATTTTGCCTTAAGGCAAGTTGCATAAGCTTACTTATGAAGTTGCATGTGTAATAATTGACTAAATCAACCGAAATTAAGATAAAATATTCAACAGTTCATTTCAAAAATAAATATTTCGCTTTCAAATAAATCCAATCATTACTATTTCCAATTGATGTCTCTCAAACATATTTAAATTGTCTATAATTATATTAATTATAGTGCACAGACATGTGCTTTTTTCAATTAATTTATATAATTCAACCAAATTCGAAAGACTTTTTACCGCATTTTATGAAAAACGTTGAAATTTTTTTTAAGAAATTTAACAAATTATTTTGTGAAATATATCATGTACGTAGTCCTTGATATTATTTAATAATTTAATTAACTTTTTAAATAACAAGTAACATTTTTACTTACTTTTTTGCTAATTACAAAGCCATTTCCAATGGCTTGGTCGATCTTTTCGCAAACCGAATTTATCGAATTTATTTTAATGGCTTTCAAATTTGTGATATTCAAATTTTGACCTATTACATCACAAAAGAAACTTTTGATTATCATGTTTTTTAAATGTTTGATGAATTTTTAAAATTAAACGACGTGTCGTAGAGCGTTAATATTTTAGTATGTTCTCTTGAACCATGGTATCCATCAGCGTAAAAAGTTTCATAAAAACAGTTAATTACTAAGAAACGGCTCGGCCGATCTTTGTCCAAAACTAATCAGCACAATTTCCAAATAATATCTTTCAAACAGTTTTTCAAATTGTAAAATCGATTCAGAATTTTTGGCTAAAACGTGGTCAATTTTTTTTTTCACTTTTCTGCTAATTACAAAGAAAAGGCTCGGCCGATCGTCGCCCAAACTATGAGACGATAGTACTTGTAGAGTACTATCGTTTCATCAAAGAATTTTTGAACTTTTTAAATCGATTCAGCAGAGCTTTTGAGAAAACGTCGACAAAACGTTGGCTCACACACATACATACATACTTTTTTCCAAATTTGATCTCATTCGAACCAGAATGGCTTGAAACGCCGAGGAAACATAAAATTAGCAACATATAATTTTTTTTTGCAAAAACATAAATATCAAGTTCGGGAAGTAAACCCTCATCGGCCAAATTAAGTTTGGAGATGGGTATCGTAGTACTCGGAATTATTTGCCGTTGCCAGAGAGCAACATGCAAGTTTAGGATGTGTAAACAAGATTCATTAATTGTTTTATGAAGATTAGATATATTTTTATTCAATACACTTATCTAGTGTATAAACGTTATTTTGTATAAATGCATACAAATACACGATTCCGTATACTTCCTTACCGTGGTTGCTAAGAGGAACGGTGAAAGAGTTTTGGAGGATGAGAGTGAATAAACGACCAAAAAGGGTTAACAATAATAAGACAAATTCAACAATAATGGACTAATAAACATATATAATAAAAAAATATGCTTTACCATATGAATTAAGGTATAACTTATTATTACATTATGACGAAAAAATAAATTAATACATATAATAACTTAAATTATAATCTAATGATGTGGTAATTAATTGTTTCATAAAAAATCTGAAATCGAAACTACAAAAGCACAGTAGCACAGAGCCGCGTGCGGTGTCCCAGGTGGCAAGCGGGAGCTCTGATTAGTCGAGGGAATCCCGCGGGGCGAACAGACTCGAGAGCGCGCTCCCCCGGGAAGTCCCGAACTCGAAAACGTCTACCGCCAACCGCCCGCCTCACACCCGCGCAGTCAAGGGCTGACATTTAGTGATAATTTTCTATAATATTATGAACTATATATAGATATTTA